AAAAAAAAAAAAAAACACTTCACAAAACTAAGAGCGATGCGAAAATGTACGCGCATGCGTTTATCGAAATTAAAAAGTGTACCTTGAAGGAAAACCTTTTAAGTTGATCGACTCAAAAGCAAACATCTCAACCGCAATATCACTATGATTTATTTCTGTCAAAATTTCAAACATATCACACCGTCTGAAGGCGTCTTGGGCCGATTAGCAGCGTCAACACGCTGCCCTACATATGTTCATGATGGCGGTTTCGATGATTGGAAAGGTAACAACAGAGTGTAAGCTGTACACAAGGCGCTTTGTTGCCAACTATATTGACAGAATGTATTGTCTGAGAGAGATTTTTAATTTCGCTTTAGTTTGACGCACCCAAGTTCTGTGGTACTCTTGATCTTTAATCATTCGGCACTGCGGGTATAATTAACAAGATTAATACAGTCGTTCTAGTGGGCTGGTTACTCGCCTAAACTCTAAAAAACTATGCGACGTAAGTATTTCTTCGTTGCGATTTGCAAGGTGTTTAAACAAAAGCTTAAACCTTTTGTTGGGTTCTTTGCTAATCTCGGAGGCGTCGCGTGGCGGCACGTGCCAATTGCGGACGAAAACAACACTGAAATGGGTTCCCTGGCGGGAATAAAAAAACGACAAGGGCATTGAAAGGGTTTACCGCAATTTACTCAGTGTGACAATATTTCGCTGAAATCGTGCGAGAATTTTTGGTTTTCGGTTACTTTTGTCTTTTGTAATGAAAAGTAAACACAATTCCGGAAAGCTGATAAAAACAATCAAGATTCGTTACACTCGAGGAGGAAACTATCATTTTTTTTTTTAAAGAAAAGAGTATCTGAATTTTTTTAACCTTCAAAAAAGCAAGAATGCTATTGTGCCTTGGGTCCACCTAGCAACAAAATCCACCTACTAAAGATCTATGACTGAGACGGCAAGGCGGCTACGTGCTGAAAAAAATTCACCCCAAAAAATTTTAGCTTTTCCGTTAATTAATAAATTATATAGTCTTAATTAGCTTCTCCCGATGTGTCATGTTGGGACTAAATTCAGCTGTGGAAATTGAAAACATCGTTTTCCACCTGCGCTCGCCTCATAAACAAATATAATCTAATTACACGAGGGATACATTACCGCATATTGAAAGTGGACAAAAACGAACCTAGAGATACAGTTTGTATTATGCGGTACGCGATCAGCGATACATTTCGGTGTAGCTTAAATTACAGTTCGATTTGTTCCCCAGAGGAAAATAAATAACATAAATGAAATTTCCATTCGGGCTGGTTTTTCGGGCTTGATAAAAATTTAATGGTCAAGTCAGCGCTGAAAGAAAAAACATCTTGTTTTATTTCGGATGTTGCAAAGTCTTCTAGACTACGAGCGACATTTCTCAAGAAGACAGGAAAAAGTCGACAATAAAAATTGATAAAATTATTTTCCTTAGATGAGCGAAAGTTAGTGCATTTTTGTCGAATGAACGTTTTAGATCGAGTGGTTATTGAAAATTCACGTTGTTTAAAGTAAACGTTAAAGAAATTGCTTCCTTGATCAAAGAAGCACGCAGCGTCCAAGAACGTTCCATATTTAATAATTGATATTTCTCAGTTTTTTTTACCAAGTTTCATATTTTGCTGAACTGTGAATTGAATTGGTTGAAAGTTGCAACATATCGCTAGTTTAAATCGAAACAAAAAATGATTCACTGCAGACAAAACTAACCTGAAATAATTCAATGACCAGACGACACGATTTTTTTTCGCTATCAATCAACGAGGATATTCGTCATTTGATTTGCTTAATACAAATCATTTTTTTTTTAACGCGAAGGAAAATCGAAATTTAGACATTTCGAACTGGTTTACCAGTAAAGTTAAGTTGCTTCGGTAGCCACGAATGTCCAAACTGAAACTGTCTATCAATTATCTTTGTGTTTTATCTCTACAAACAACACACTTAAGAGCTCGTACTTTTTAAGAAAGACTTAACGAGGTTTTAACACGTTATTAAGCATATCAGCGCTGCTCTAATATCTTCCAAGAGAGACGACAAAACTTTAATTGTAACTGTGTTGTCCACGTTCTACGTTTAACACGTTGAAACAATTTTTTTTTTAACAACACCAATTTACGCAACGTGAATCGCATTCGAAATTTATTGCGGTGAGAAAAAAAAATAGCTTTCGATTGGGACTGACAGAGCAATTACTCATATTTACCGCATTATGTTTTGCATATTTGCCAAACGAGACAATTTCCATTCATGTTCTTAGACAAAAGCATCTGTACACTCAAAGTAACTGATAAGAGCAAGAAAGAAATAAACAAAGTGAAATCTGAATTAAGGAAAGAACGCTTTTTTATGAAGAGGGACTTGGAAATTCGCTTCACAACTGCCAACACGTTTTCGCAATGTTTTAGTCAACCCAAGGTTCATACTTTTGCAAATTAATTTGCGACGGTCTGGCGACGTATTGGCAAATCATCTGAAAATCCGACGAAATCTGCAGCTGTCCGGTACAACGAAAGCTATGCCTTGGGGGCGTCAAATTTGTACTCAGTGCAAGCCACATCTGCGTCGGTTTGTGATCAAGGTTTTATTGACTAATGTGAGGTCAAAGAAAACCTCTAGTTACTATGGAGAGTTTCAGTTGCCATCCACCAGGCTACATTTAGATTTCAACCAGAAATCAACCAATAACTCCAGCTGTATAACAATGTTATACAGTCGAACCTCCAATAACAGCCACCTCTCCACAACGGTAAAGGCCACTAAAACTCATCCCAACTACCAAAATAACCATAACCAAAGTGTCATATTACACCTCTACCTCCCCATAACGGTCATCTCTCCACGGCCACTTTCCTCTGTCCTCAGTGTGGCCGTTGTGAAGAGGTTCGACGGTATACCGTTAACATGATATGTATTTTTTGATACTTAGTATCTTTTGCTTCTAGATTACTATTTATTTATTTTTAAACCTTAGCTGTTCTTGGAAAAGCTAGAACTGCAAAAAGTCCATACCTCCGTGTTTCAATAAAGTTGTGTTGTGGTGTTATGTTATGTTATATTGTGTTATGTTAATATAGGTTCATTAACGGTTTCGAGTTCAATTTGGAATTAATTTGCACAAGTTAGTTTTTCAAAAAGCTGAAATTGCACGAGCTGCTTCGGCGAGTGTCATTTCAGCTTTTTGAAAAACTCACCAATGCAAATTAATTCCAAATTGAACGAGAAAAGCTGTATGATTACTTATTAATAATATATACATGAAAAAGTTTGCGTGGAGGAAGTGCCGGAAGACCTTTCTTGAAGTCATTTTTTCTCATTTGTTTTTGCACAAAATTTTCCTCATCATTTTACGTAATATCATTGGCTTTGAAAATTTCCTATTGTCTTTCAGCCAATCATAATCCAGAATTATGATGTGCAATTTACACTGGTGTTACACTTTTTGCACTGTTGCTATACTTGAACTGCACTGCTCTCAGCCAATCAGAATTGAATAATTTTTTCATGTATATTATTAATTATGTTATGTGACACTATGTTATATTATGTTAAGTTATGTTATGTGATGTTATGTTGTGTTATGTTGTGTGGTGCTGTGCTATGTTATGTTGTTCTGTGTTGTGTTGTGTTGAGTTGTGTTATATTATGTTAATGTGACACTATGTTATATTATGTTATCAAACAAACAAACAAACAAACAAATCAAAGAAACACAAAAGCAGAAGGACAATTCCAATCACAAAAACTTTGCATGTTAAAATCAGGCTTTTATTTACCACATACGTTATGAAACCAGTGCAATATGAATAATATTTATTATATATATCATTGTTGTTTTGGTTAGCCAAGGTCTCTCTAATCTGTAGCTATAAATAAATTATTCTGTCCCAAACTAAGAGATGGACATAGTGGTATCATAAAATTATTGGGTATAATTTCCTATTTGACTTCACACATAAAATGCAGAATTAAACTTCTTTTTGGGCTGACCGGGAGGTACGTTTTCATGGCCATATGGGCACTGCAAAATAATAATAAAAAGAAAACATGTCTCATTTATTACAATGATCACTCTGGAGATTAAACACCATTTTCATTGTATAGATCTGTTTTAAATGTCATAATCTTAACAGCACAATTAAAGAACTTACATGTCGACAACCATTCCCACAGCAGCTTCTACGTTTCAAAAGAAATTCTTCTGTGAAAACTGTATAACCAGTAACAGGATCTCTATAAGTATTCTCTCCATTCTATGGAGACAAAAAAAAGGTACACTGAAATTGAAATGTTGATAACTATTTTCATGGCACTGCATAATGTTCATCAGCAGACCCAACATAGACGGCTGCGTTGTAGACGGTACCTACCTGGGTTATTCACAGGTAGATTTCGGTCTGCGATGCAGGCTAGTAACCCAACAGAGAAAGAGAAGTCTGCTTCACTTTTTGAGACTTAGAGGGCTGAGTCTTTGGGCCTCACTTTCTGAGCAAGAAAAGTCACATCTTTACTCCCCCTCCCCCTCTCTCTCTCCTCTCTCTCAGGTGTAAGTGCATCTGGACTGGCCACTGTCCACACTCCCAACAGTAATGTTTCAGGGGAACCCTTCTCCTTCCTTTAGACTATGGATATGGCTCTGCAAAGGGTACTGACTGATCATCAATCATTCACTAATTTAGCTCAATCCACCCTGGAGTCTAAAATGGGTACTGGTGAAACAACTGCTGGACCAACCTAGTTAGCATCCAGTGCAGGGTGAACATAGCCTGTTCCAGGCATTTGGTTAACAGTGTGGATGCTGGCATGGAGAATGAGTGGAAAAGGGCGATGGGCTTGGGGTGGGAAAGGGCAAAAGGGTCTCCAACTTTCTCCCCCAGATCTACCTCATTCACGAGCTCCTTTTTGCTTGCCCCCACAAACCAACAGCCTGGAACAGGCCAGGGTGATCAATACTGGAGTTTAGACCCAGCACTGATGCACCCTTTGGGACCTCAGTCCTTAGCACTGCAACTGCCTCAATTTATTTATTTTTTTACATGCCCCTCCTTCTTCTCTACNGGTGAAACAACTGCTGGATCAACCTAGTTAGCATCCAGTCCAGGGTGAACATAGCCTGTTCCAGGCATTTGGTTAACAGTGTGGATGCTGGCATGGAGAATGAGTGGAAAAGGGCGATGGACTTGGGGTGGGAAAGGGCAAAAGGGTCTCCAACTTTCTCCCCCAGATGTACCTCATTCACGAGCTCCTTTTTGCTTGCCCCCACAAACCAAGAGCCTGGAACAGGCCAGGGTGATCAATACTGGAGTTTAGACCCAGCACTGATGCACCCTTTGGCTCCTCAGTCCTTAGCACTGCAACTACCTCAATTTATTTATTTTTTTACATGCCCCTCCTTCTTCTCTACTCATGTGACTGCAGGCCAGTACACAAATAACAAAAATTTACTTGGGGAGGTGCTACCAGTTTTGAGTCTGATAAAAGAGATTACTCATACCAATACTTAAGATACAAGCTTAAAAAATTCCATACTGCCTGACAACCTGTCAATACAATACTAGAGGAAGCGTGGGCCTGATTACTTCTTAAGGTCAAACTGGCAGTCTCCTCACAGGGACGGCGAAGCTGGGGGCGGGNACACATGAAAAACTGACATCAATTTGATTTTTACAATAAATTATTGCATAAATTATAAATTCATGTGTCTGCCTGCTTATTGACAATAAAAATTAGCCAATGAGCATGCTGAATTTCTGCAATCATTGCAAAATAACCAATGGTCAGCAGGTTGGATATGCTAATATTACACATCCTTAAGAAAAAAAATTTTCGAATGGCAATTGTGGGCCTTACCATACATGCATTCTTATGAGCAAGATAAATATTCTTTTCGTCTTCAGATAGTTTGTCCCATTGTAATCCTTCTCTTTCTGTGGATCTGCAGTTCCTTGACTCGACTGTTACCTTTCCTTGCCCACTGTCTGTAGAGTCAGAAGTAACTGTCCTTGTAAACGGTGATTTCCTACAATGGCGGAGACTAGAACTAACCCCACACCCCTGCCATGATGTCATTGTTTTGAGCAAACGTCGAATCAAGTACGTTGACGACTTAATAGAAATTCCAAGTTTGACCATAAGTTGCAGGAAAGAAAATAATTGGAGTATCTCTCAGATAGCGGAGATCTAAACGATGGATCGTCGTCAATCAGAATTGTTGCAAACACGTGTCACTACACACGGGAAGAGGTTTCGGTTTCACGACGATGAACGTCTAGACTGGGACGATCTCAGAATCTACTTCATCAACTGTGTTCTTCAAGTCCAAAATTGCCTCGTTTACTCAATATTTGTGTTACAGTGGACCACCGGTGAATTCCTGGAAAAATATTTTTTTCTTTGTCTGTTCTCGTGTAATTCCGTCACGATCTTGCAAAACACTTCTAAATTTACCGGCAATTTCATAATTCTGCGTGGTTACATAGCCTTCTCATCCCCAGGGAAATCGCCTGATACTAACTTGTAACGCCTGACTAATTCTGTCAACGCCCTGGCGGGGTTTCTACGAGAAATTCGTATTTTACAGTAGTTTACATAATCATCGCAAGGCTTGCAATGGCTGATCTTTCACAGTTAAAAGCTATTCTTTCGGGGAATATTATTTTACCGTCAGAAAACGAGAAAGCTTATCAGCAGGAGGTCGACGAAACGTGGAATGCCGCGATTCGTGAGCGCAAACCTGCCGCGTTCGTCAGAGTGGCAACGGTAGAAGATGTGGCCAACACTGTCAAGTTTTGTGTACAGAACGAGGTGAATAGATTTACACTTAAGTTGAGAACAGATTTATTTCATTTACATTGTGTAGATTGCAGGGAATTTACTTGTGTTATAAGGTCTCCAGCAATTGTCACCAGCAGGTGTGCAGGTGAACATTGGTCAAAGGCCAAAAGGGAAACCACGGTTCATTGCTTTTTGTCGAGGGTCATGAGCTTATATATATAGTTAAAAGCTGTAGTGGATTATTTGGTCTTTTGTTAATCGTCTCTTTTCGAGACGGTAGACAACGACAGATCCTGCGCAATGGGGAGGGGGGGGG